AAAGCCATACCCATGATACCATCGAACGGCGAATTGGCAAAGTCTTGAGACTCAGTGGTGGTGAGACCAAACGTTTGTTTTTTGGCGGTGAAACCGGCAACCGTGACATCATCGGTGGCAATAACACCAGCAACTGAACCAGTACCGTATCGAATCTGGAATGGTTGATTGTTAGTCGAGAAAGTGTTCGACTTGGTGGGGTCGAATGGTGTGTGCTGTGTGCAGGCAGCGTCTTTACATTTCGGACCGGGCACCCTAATTATCGAAAAAAGTTATAAAAGTTTGATAAGCAAAACGTCGCAGAGAACATGGTCAAAAACCGCGAAATACGAAGAAGCGAGTGTATCTAAATTTTTTCTTTCTGCTTACCATAGGTCAGACGAACCGGTATCGAAGATGACGTTGAATGTCTGTCCACCAATGTCAATTGGTCCAAAGTAACCAATGTCGTTTCCTTCGTCGGTAAGAGGTTCGTTGCCATTACCAGTGGTTCCATTGTTAGGCGCTCCACCGCTAGCTGTTCCGTTTGTTTGTTGACTTCCTTCGGGAATCCTATCGGTGGTGGCGGCGAAAATTGGCTTACTAAACTGTTCGACTAAATTCTGGAACTCTTCATTGGTGATACCAGCTGTTCCTTTCTTAACTAGCGATTCAGTATAGTCTTTGAATTTAAGAAACGCGACTTTCGAATGGATGGCATATTTCTCTTTCCAAGTTAACTTGTCGCTAAGCTCATTCTTTTTGATGGGGATGGAATTTCCAGTGCTGACTGGTACCGCATTGATGTTGCCAGCAGTAATGGCGAGAGCGAAAGTGAGGATGTAGGTGAATTTCATTGTGTTTCTATTAAGTAATATATGAACAGATCCTGTCTGCGAGGTGAGTAGTGGTCTAGGTGTATTGAGATATATAGAAAAGTAATGGAGAACGCCTTTTAACAGTTGCAACTGAACAGACCCTGGCTGTTTAGATTGCAGAGATTATGATGTTGAGGAAAAGAACTCATCCTGGACCGCATATTTATAAATGTTTTCCTTGTATCGTGGCGCACAGTTTCAACAACCAGATCAATAAAGTATACTACTTAATTTAGATGTCTGAGTAATTTTGTGCACCGAACGCAGAACACAAATAATGCAACCAACAACCATATTTAATGCCCATCTGTACAAAACAGGAAACTCGCCTATGCTCAACCCTTAACAGTGCTTGAAGGGAGTGTCTTGCATTCATCGATTGATTGGTTTGTTAATCGCACAAGGGAATCATTGAGTGCTAATTATATCAACTCGCTTGTCCCCGTTTCATCCTGGTGAAACATAAAAACTTTTTGTGCGTGTAATTTAGGAAAATGGATTGTCTATTTGTGCTACAGTACTTAGTCGTCGTTAAACTACATTAATATTAATATGAAATTTTTACCCCTTAGCGTTAGAATATTAATATATTGTGATCGGCCGACGTCGATCGAACTATGCGATTAGCCAAAATTAGTAGACTAAAATGCATTAAATCAGCGAACTTCGCACGTGTTGACAAATAACATCATATAGAAAAGATCACGCAAAATCTCGATGCCGCCATTACACATATTGTAGTAAAAGTCAATATAATTTATATTTGAATTATATGATAAATGAACAAGAACATTAAGATCTACTGGCAAAACTGCTGTCTCAATTCTAATATACTCTATACCGTTAAATGCATCATAATAATCGTGACCCGTTAAACTCTATTAAGTTAATGTCAATCCGGCCAATAGCGACAGTAGATTATGCATTCAGTAAGAAGATCCAACTTATTATGTAAAAAAGGAGCCACTCTTATAAACTTGGACACTTTATTTCTTATTAGAAAAGTGTAGGACAAATTAATTCAAATAACCGTATGTCGAGTTGTTTAATTGTAGCCATCGGTAACATCAAAACGGAGAACCGTAAGTATCAGGATGTCATCTGAATGACGGGATAGACATTACCTATCTCGAAATAAAAATATGTCAAAACTTTCACAATAAGCAATAAAATTCAAACCACTATATAGACTATCAATTGCGTGCTGTTGTGAAGTAATTTAACTGCTCGAGTATGACATTAAAAAGGCCTAACTTTCTTGTGGTCGCACACGATTTATGGTTAAATTCATATGCTATAACTTGTGATGCATTTCTTGAATTTTTTAATGATACAGTATCACACCATCCACAATGATATCCAACAATATTTGTTCTTGTATGGCTTTTTTGTACAAAGATTTTTTAATCAAATTGTTAAGTTACATATTCATATTCAGCCATATTGAACATACACATTGAATGAGTTTGAACGAGCAGCTATTGCCAACTTTTCTATTACCACAATTTAATAAACGTATGATCTCAATTTACGCATTGATAATCTAAGCAGTCCTTCTCTAATGTCGCCCACGTGTACTTTCGCATACGGCTTATGTGATAGATATAATTTGCGTGCCCGATTCTTAGACCGTTCCAGATAAAATGAATTTATGTAAGCTTCAAAAGTAAAAACCCAAATTCGTGTGCCAACAAGTAGTAATCTATCATCAACTTTGGAATGAGAAAGATTACTTAGATTCAGATTATCGTGTCAAAAACTGATATTACCACTAATAATTCACTCAATACTCTTAGTTAGTAACCTGCATACACCAAACAGTCTATTATATTTAATATGCTTATTGTTGCGACTTACTGAAATTACAAAGGTTGAAGGTTTATCCGTCTTTTCGGTGATAATTCATAATAGTTGTTGTTTCGAATGCTGGACAACGTTAAGTTATTGATTACTTTACACTTGTTATTACTTGAGAAAGAATGAGTGACGTTAATGTGCATTCTATAGTCGAAAAATCTTTTGCTGTAATAATTATTATTGATTCGTTTACACCGTAATATGTCATACAATATATTATAAGGATAACAACGTCAGAATCGCACAAGCATGATGTCACCATGACCTTCTTTCCCGCTACCAAATCGGGGATTAGAGCAGTCAAGCAAGATGCCAACTAACCGTTCAATGTCTTAGTAATACATTGGTTGTGCGTTTATCGTAATTTGTTATGTTAAATCAAATTTTCCTTGTTACCAAATCAACCATTTATTTCGCAGGTTTATCGGCTCTACTCCCTGAATGCTAACGTAAGTTTATCTTGTTTCTTCAAGAGAATATTTACAAGCGCAAAACAATTGGCTTTGCACAATTATATGATTTACATCTTGCGTCCGAAGGACATCTGCAGTCGCCATTAGCACGGGCTTTTTTGAGTAAACAAATCAATCGGCTTTTTTGATTTATTAGATAAGAATATGATAGAATACAAAGACAGTACATTGTTTTATCTCGCTGAGGGTTTGGTATCACTTTTCAGTGAGCTATAAGGATCGAAATAATGTGTATCTGCTAATATTGTTAATTAAGCGAATCTAATGCAAGTGTAAGATGCCTTCTTTGTGACCTATTCTTGATGGAACATCCGAGGTTCATTATTAGTGTAACCTGCGTATAGATAATAATAATGTTGATTGTCATGCAAATTGTAACGTGACATCGCACCCCCACATTTGTTTTCCGGTTCCATATTTTGTTTCATACTTTCAGTCAAGAAGTGCCCACATTAATCAAATCACCAGGCTCTCGTCATGACTAATAAGATAAGAAAATTTTTTCTTAATTTCATTGTGGGCAAATGCGATTGCCAAGAATAAAGATTTTGGGTAACATATCGGCCGTTTTCACGTTCAGTTGATCCTTTCCAAACTAATTCTTAAAGCAAAAAAAAATCTAAAACGGTTACAAGCATCATCAGATTAGGCCTATTGTCTGCAATGTGAGTTACAATACAGAGGTCTTTTTATATACATCAAGCAAAAAGAGATATTTACCACATGTAACTTGCATCATTGATTGTTTATCAAGCGATCTAACAGAGTTTTTATAACAAATATTGCGCACAAATTCGTGTGATTTATAACAAGTAATGATTGCAATAGTATCACTTTGCAAAGTAATGATCTTACAAGCTTAAACGCAATCGATTGGATTAAGATATGAAGTATATGTCACTAGAATAAAAACACGCTTTGACACTTTAATATGTCATTCAAAGTAGCGCTTGAAGTCATTGTATTGCTAGCGTTGCGGTCAATTTTTACTGTGATTTGTCAAATTACAATTGATTCTCGCTTCCAAAGAAAAGCAGAATGTTACTAATACCATGGCTTGCAAATAACTCGTATAGCTTTGCAAGCAATGTAACCGTTTGTATATTATTAATTTGTTAACACTTACTAAAGCGTTTTATCAGAAATTAACTATACTTATTATATCTTACATCGCGATTTATGACCGCAAGGATTGTATAACAGATACAATAAATGTTAGATACAACCCGAACAATGAATGTGACAACGATGCTTTGCTTAGCTCTTGTTTAGTATTGTGTTTAAACTTTTTCTTCCTTATTACTTTTCGTTTGATGCTACTGCGTATTATCGCTTTCAGAGTTGTTAAAATTATTGGACATAAAGATTAATTGATTATTCCAGTGTTGTCTGTTTCAACAAAAACATCGAATTTATTTCTACAATCGATATTAAATTTGCATATTCCAACATCAAATTCCATGTTCGATGCAAGGTGAAACATTTCAAAAGAAGAAAGTGTTTTGCCTTTTTGTCAATCAACATGTTTTTTACAATAGTAACATAACTTTTCATACGCTTCAATCCCATCAAACGCCACCTAACTTGCGCCGAACAGGTTTCTGTCGAGCACGTTCTTTTATTTGTTCCAGGGCCAATATTTATGAGGCGTTTCCGTAAACCTTCTTTTTTTCTGTTTAAATATTTTTTACCTCAATTAGGAACCCTGTTTGCGTTCTGACCGAGTTCTCAGAATCGCCATAAAAATAATTAAAACACAAACGAGCTACCGTTTTAGAAAATAACTTATTCTAAGCTTATCTAATCGTTACAGCGTCTGAAAATATTATATCACTTAACAAGAGTAAGGCAAGCGAAAAATTTAACTCAACTCATGAAGATTTTTCTAATGAAATGGTCTTCCATAGGAAAGATGAATAGCGTGCGTTGTCAATACGAACCACTATTTCGCATTTCGAGCATATGTTGCAAAAGTTCATATCTATAGCTTCAAAAGGCAACCGTGAATCCTTAATATTAATAATTCTGGAAAACGACCTAAACTATTTCACGTGATTGACGAAATTGAAACGACTGATAAGGCTTCAAGTTATATCCGATATTATTCGTTAACAGTCGCCATAAAGAATCTTGATGGGTTGTCAACCGGATTCCAACAACATGCTTAAAACGATGCAAGTTAATGCAACTGAGGATAATGGGACCGATGTACTAACACTATTTTTATGCCTTTCTAAGCAATAACGTTTGTTAGTACAAGTAACATTATACCGATTTGGGTAGTTGTGGTGCGGGAAGATGCGAGGTTTGATGACCTAAGCTGTAATTCCAAAGATTTTTCAAAATCGCTTACTTTTCGTTTACAAAAAAAGGGTGATTTAGCGGGTTTTCTTTCCTAATACATTTATAGATTTCATTCTCTCTCTGCGGTTCAAAACATTGGGCTAGTTGTATCGGAAAAACTGTCATCCTTACTGTTCGTATGAAAACACTGCCACAAATCAATTTGATGCCCGGAATTGAATAACGGGAAATGAAACGGCCAATATACAATCTTCGTTCTATAAATATCGTAGACATAAGGCGACGTATTAACGTCACCGTGATGTTACGCAGCAAAAAGAGTATTGTCACTGAGAAGGTAGCCTG